AAATGATCTTAGATGTTTTAACTTCCATGTTGGGGCTTTAGTACATCTTGGTGGAGCATACGAAACAGGTCTTTCCTTCTTACTCTCCCCCTCTCTCCCTAGTGCAATGTGTTAAAAAACTAGATTGTCTTTTAGAAGTTTTCACGTGGACATAGTTTACAGGGTTGATAGTCTGACAGATATGAGTAGAGGACATAAAAGGCCTTTAAATATAATGGATAAAAATAAGTCTTAAAAAGTTATTTTATTCAACTGCCATTTAAGGATAAAAGTTATATAATGTAGTAAAATCTTTATTGCAAAAAGTATTTACAGAATAATATCTGTAAAATGCACAAAAAAGACATTAGTTATAGATGATAGTTGAATAGTTTAAATATTTAGTGCAAAAGATTATTCTAATCAAGATTCTTTTCTAATAAAAAAAACTTTTTATGTTGTTTATAAAAAACCCTATCTGAATGAAATTCATTAAAATATTAACTAAATGTTTTTAATATTCTACATATACGGTCATATCATATATAATGTGTCCACAACATAAGATGTTAACTTAATTTCTAAGAGGGGAGAGAGAAGTGGAGAACATTTGAATTTTGGAAAGAGAAAGAAAATGGTAATTCAATGAAAATATAAAGCATATATATCTTTAGAAAGACAAGGGTTGAACAAGGTTACAGGTCTGAATTGCAAAAATCCAAAACTAAACTAAATAGGATTGGAGATATTTGGTTTGATTTGCTTGGAATTTGGTTCATTTTAGTCTAATTTGAAAGGACTATGGAGTTTGATTTGGGTTTTTCTATTTGGATGATTAAAAAATATAGAAAATTCAAGTGCACTGAATATAATATATGTTAAAGAGGTGAATTTTATGGCATTATACAAATGCTCCCTTACGTATAAACGTAACCCCTAAATAAGTCTCCTTCTCTCCCTCTCTCCCTCCCTCCCCGTGTGTGTGTGTCTGTCTATCTCCCCTTGTCTCTTCTTTATGATATTTGCTCAATTCTCAATCTTATGAGGGCCTTTTTTCCGGTATTTTAATCTATTTGATTTAAGTTAAAACAGAGGATAATCAGATACATAGCCGAACCATTTACAACCCCTTGTTGGGATGCATCTAATAAAAGAGAGAGGAAAGTCAAAGCTACAAGGGAAGGAGGATTAATAGGAAATACTTTTCCCTTAAATGTTCCGCTAATTTGGACAACTAACAAATCGCATTAAGCTTGGCTATATTAGAACATTTTATTAATTGAACTTTCTTATTTAGTCCATCTCACGATTGTGCATATAGTTCTATCTAATAAGTGGCTTTTTGTTTTCCTCTTAATTTAATTTTCTCTATACTTATATTGGTTAGTCACTTTAATCTTGCCATGTAGATTATTTTTATCTTTGAAATTATTGTAAGGATAAAAAGATTCATCGTTTTAGTAGCAAGCTTCAATAAAAATTTTTAGGGGTCAAGATAAAATTTATGGATATTTTTATTTTTTATGGGGTCAAATATATATTTAAGGGGAAAAAATTCTTGAGGCCCCACGCCATTAAGCTCCACTGTTGCATTTTTTAATATTTGGATTATTTAGAAAAATCATATTTTTAGAAAAAAAAATCATAAATCAAACTTATCTTTTTATTATTTTAAAATTTTTTAACATAATATAAAATGAAAATAATTATAATTTGTTTACTAAACATTTAAATAACAATCAAAAAATAGAAATAAACGAATTTCTTTTTGCTAAGATGGAAACCAAGTCATAGGACAAAGGTGTCTTCAACTCATGTCCCTGTCCGAGACGTCAAAGAGCAAGACAGGCTAAGAGCTTCCCAGCTTCATGCTGGAAGTTAAAGGCGGAGACAAGGGCCAATTTTATGTTATGCAGCTGCCCATTGAAAGGAACTTTCACATATATTTTAATAGGCGGAATTATTGCTTACATAGATTTAGAGTCCCAATGTGAAAAACTTCACAATTAATGGGGCTTAAATTTAATTAAAATTATCCGCGCCATGAATAATAAATATACAAGTGTCTTAACAGCTACTGAAATTTATATTTTTCACCTTTAAGTAGTAAATTTAATTACTATGCTTATTAGTTATAGTCATTTTATTTATTTATTATTCAATAACTTATAGTAATTACTTTTTTGACACCTCCACACAAGAGATATAAAATTTTTAAATAAAAATTTTGAAATAATAGATTTTTCTTTTTTACAAATCTTTAACTTATAGTTATACATAACTTGCTAGGGCTGTAAATTTCAAAAATATTTTTACTAAATACAAATATAAAATTAACTTTTTCACCATTTTAGTTAAATAAATCCATTAATTTCTTTTTTATTATTAATATTTTAAATTGAAACACTGTAAAAATAAATAACATTTTATTTTTTTACTTTTTGTGCTTTACACTATTAGTGTGGAAAATGTGTAAATTAAAAAAAAAATTATACAAAAAACTTCCATTGCATTAAAATAACAAAGACTAACAAATCGAAGTTAAAACTTCTCTTACAATTTAAAGGAGAAAATTTTTTTAAAAAAAAAAACTGTGGGAAAAACATTTGCATAATTTGGTTTAAAATCTTTTTATTTACCTGATTCGGTCATCATTCTATTCTCGTGATCTAGTGGCTCCATTACTTTCCTACTCTGATCAATCTAACCCCTGCATAGTTCTTAAAATTAGGAATATAAATATATGTCTTCATTCCGCTTCCATTTCTTCATGATCCAACGGCCCTAAAGAACACCAAGATTTCCTTTGCTTTCAACTAGCGACATGTCAATCTATTGGGGTGTGGCTCCAAGATAATTAGTAATTGTTCCTTTTCAATCTCAAAATAAAATGTTTGTAAAATTGAAATATGTGTTTGAGACATAATTTGAGATATGTGTTTTTGTATATTGTATTTGAGTGAAGGGTTTGTGTGAAAAAAGTTAGAAGAATGGAGGTTGATGTGAAAAAGAAAAGAAATTAATATACCAATGCAAGGATTGAAGTGATGAAATTAAAACTTGAAAAATTAAAGTGAAAAGTCAAAGTGAAAAGGGGTTAAAAGGTCAGGGATTAAATCGTAGCAATATGCCCTATTTATCTTTTTCAAACTTTGTACCGAGGATTTCCACTTTTAATAAGGGTGTGAACAGTGTAAAACCAGATATGAATAGCCAAAATAAGTTAACAATCAACCTTAAAGGGAGGTGGAGGGTTATTGGTCGTTGTCGAACTAGTTGTCAATCAACTAGGTACGAGACGTGTATGTGCTATTTTGGCAACTAAAACTATGGGTGTTCTTTGCATTGAATGAATCTGATTAAACCAAGCAAACCAAGCCAAACCAAACCACGATAATTGGGTTTGGTTTACATGGTATTTTTTTTATATACGATTCAATTTACGGTATGGTTATTAAACTGAATTATATGAAACAAACTAAAATGTATAAAATTAACACACACAAAGCACAAGCTAGATCAGATGAGAAACCCTTCCCTAACCTAACCCTCCTTCCTCTACTCACTTTGTGCCCATTTTAGTAGCTCTTCCTCTTCCTTCTCTACATAGCTCAGCACAGCTCTTCCTCTTCCCTCTCTTTATGCCCTTCAGTGCCTCCTCCTTTGTGCCTTCAGTATCTGCCCCTCTCTACCACAATGCACCACTACAACGCTTCCTGAATCCACAACCATGGCCTCCTTGGGGAAGATGTTGTTGTCGGCCTTGCTAATCCTTCCTTGAGTTGCCCCGATCTAATTAGTAATACACCACATGTTCCATATATTTCTCATTAACTTCATTCACGATTGAGTTCTAATCGTAGGCTTAGCTCATGAAGGAATATTGTTGTATGGCTTCTTTCTTTGTATGGTAACCATGTCAATATTATTCAGAGTTCTGCGTTATATCATTTTAAATTATTTTCTGTTTTGAGGATTTTTTTTTTTTGTGGAATAACTATGGGATTATTTTACATTTTTAAATTTTCCGTATTCAATGGAATATGCCATGTTTCTGTCATTTTCATTTGAAATATGTAACCGTTCTCATTTCATAGCTACTTCTATAATCAATTGCTAAATGTTCCTTCTTGTAAAGAAACCCGTCTAAATATTAAACGCGAATGTTTGATTAACATGTTTTATAGTTCCAAAAGATGAGACATTGGCTAGTTTAAACCTCCTTTGGCCGATCAAACAGGGCGAAAGCGGTCATGGGTAACCTCGGAGAAAGGCCTTTCTTCATGCCACAATAATAGGAAGTTCTATTGAAAAATTACAGATAGGGCCGTCATAAAATAAGACTTATAAATTACGATAAAACAAAATTAATTACAAATTAGGGTTACTCAAACAACAATTTTATTATTTTCCTTAGTGATAACTAACAATTAGGATTTTAAAAATTACAGATAGTGCACCGACGTAATGATGCAAACCTCTAGGTTTGATTTGCTCCTGTTTGGAACCAAATCCCTTTGTTCTTTTAGTAAAATATAAAATCATTGCTGAACTGTTACTTCCCTGTAGATATAAAACTAAATCAAAAAACAAAAGGTTCCAAGAGCAAATGAAACTAAATTTATATCGATTTTTTTTATATATATGAAATAAGAAATTTGTTACATTAACGGTAAATTATGTGCAAACTATACATAAAAATAATATTTTAAAATGCATAAGAAATATGTATTACATTAAGCAATTATCTATTTTTAAAAATTTTCCATAGAGCTGAAATTGAACCAAATTCTTTATCTCCAAGAAACCAATCTGAGCCATATAAACTATCAATCTTATTTAGTATTAAACTTCTATAATCAAATCAAATTTAAAAAATCTAGAGATGAGAATTCTCAATTTTTGTAAGAGCAAAGATATTAAATAAAAAACAAAAACAAAGGTTGGTGGGGCTATTTCCTTAGACTTTATTCGATAACAACAGAAGATGAAGCTTTTTGCATTACACTAACGGTTTGCTTTTATGGACATTGTGCAGAATAGCCTGGACCTCCGTAGTAAAAGTAAGTACCATAAGAAGTCTGTTTGTTTGGCTTGATTTCTGAATCGTAGCATGGAGAATTCGTAACAAATTTTTGCAGATTAGCCGATCACTCCAAGCATAATTTGGGTTGTCTATCATTTGAACGTTGTGGAAAAAACTTGCTTTTTTATAACCTTCATTTGGGAAATGGCCACTTCCCATTTGAGTAGTTGTGTGATGTCCATCTCGAGCGGTGTTAAGTATTTCTCCGCCCCATTCCAATACAGTGGCATTGTCTGCTAAGGTAGTGAAGATGGTTCCAGGCCAATAGCCCACTAGTTCATCATGGTAATAAAGCATCCAGTTTTTCGTGCTCAAGTCCTGTGATAGATTGACAATGTATAAATTCATCTATAATCTATATATAATTTTGAATACAAGAGTGAAACAGATGTTCATATACCTGGAATATTTTTAGTTGTATCTCGTATGACGTCTCATTGTAAATGGAAACAGGGGAAACGGGGCGGCCAACGGCAAATTTTTTACTTAATTGCACAAAACCAGGGCAGTCAAGGTCATAACATCCCGTGGTTTGGTAGCTATCCCTCTTGTATCCAAAACGAAGAATACGTCAATTCAAATTTGTAAAAGCAAAAGAAACGAGTAGGGTTAGCTTTGATGCCAGAATTGTTCAAAAGATTAATTTTCTATGTAAGCAACTTAGAGAAGAGAGAAAAGAAGTATATTTTCATTGGTTAAATTATGAAAAACACATAGACGTTTCTTCTTTTATTTCCCACTTGCATAGAAAGAAAGACTTTATATAAATTATCCAATTCTAATTAGAGTAAAAGTAAACAAACTTACCGTCCAATACGTAAAAAGTCTTGGCTATGGTCACCATACTTTTGTGGAAGAACCTAAAAAAATTTAACAGCTATTTCATATATTTGCTTCAAAATTTTGATAAGGCAATGTAATTTGGACGCTAGCAAACAACAAACTTACGATCCATCCAGCTTCAACGCTATTCAAATTATCTGTTCCAGGGTTAGCCACAATCCAAATTTGGGATATACTCATTTCGCTTTCCTCTACGTTGGGGCTCCACACAGTAATCCGTGCTTGTGCTCCACGGTAAATGCCTCCCTCCTCAAAAACTATGGCATACTAAGAAGAAGAAGATTTTTAAATCAGACTCATTAGTCACGATTTTGAGTAAGCATCTGTTGTTTGTGCTTGTCTTTTCTAATTGGGAAAGAGAAGAAAATATAGTGGGAGTAGAAATGCTAAATTTTCATTTGATTTTTTTTGGTCAAAAATCATATTTATATAGTAGTAGTTTGAAATGTCCAGAAAAAGGTTTTAATAAACAATAATTTGGATTTATGCAATAGAAATTTACCTCATGAGCATTGTCTGCATCCGAACTAATGTTGAAATTTCTTCTATGCGAGCCAAATGGAAAATGTCGATGAGGATCATACTTTTTTGTCCTTCCAATGGGAACTGTTCCATCGGGGCACTCTCCATTTTTATGCCAATCTTGAATAAGCTCCGGTTGGGTTTCATCCATTTTCATCCCGCTCGGATATGAGCTAGGCTCCATCTTGTTACATTAAAAGCAAAACAAGTTAGGATCTAACAAAAATAATTATATTCAATTTTCTTTTATTGCCTTTTATTATGATTTCAAAATAAAATAATGCATAATAAAAGGATCTTCTTTGCAATTCAAGTGCTGAATGTTCCCTGAATCTAGTTGACCAAACACCAATTAGACCTTCTGCATGGACGCCAGTGTAATATTGGGGAGCTTGGATTTTAACTGCCAGGTCTAAAATAATAAAACATTATTGGATTGAATGTTGCAATTCCAAATTAAATCAAAGGAAAACCTGTAAGTCGTTGATGAGAGGATGGTCAAATGCTGGTTGTTTGTAAATGTCCACACAATCAATCACTTCTCGGCCGTCTTCACTCTAAAATTTGAAGAAGTGAAAAAGAAATTAAAATAATCCCTCTTTTTTGGGATGGGGGAGGGGGGCTGTTGGTGTGAGCAAGCTAATAGAGAAGAGTGTTTAAAAGATAACCTCAATGGTCTTTATTGTTCCCTTAGGCTTCGACACTATGGGGTAGTTTTGGTCCATCACAACCCTTCCTTCAACATGTCCATTGCTTGCAACATTTATTATAGCCACCACCATTAGGATTATCATGTAGCATGAAACACGAACTTCCTGATTTTCTTTAGCCATTCTTCTCTCTCTGTCTTTTAGAAGTTTTCATTTGGACACAATTTATAGAGTTGAGAGCGTGACAGGAACAAGTAGGTGATTATATAGGCAGGCATAAAAGGTATATAAATACTATAGTAAGAAAATAAGCCTACAAGAGGTATTTTATTCAACACCATTTCAGGATAAAGTTATAAAATACGGTAAAATCTTATTAGAGAAAGTATTTACAGCATAATATTTTAATTAATGTACATATGACTAGTTTAAATATTTATAAGTGCAAAAGATTATTCAAGATTCTTTTCTATAATAACATAAACTTTTTATCTTGTTTATAAAAAAATTCTACCATTTTAAAAATCAATAAAATATTACATATTTTCAATATTCTACATATATGGGCATATCACATATAATGTGTTCACAACATAAATTGTTAATTTAATTTGCACGAGGGGATGAGAAGTGGAGAATATTTAACTTGTGGAAACAGAATAAAAATGGTAATTCAATTAAAATATAAAACATATATATATGTTTAGAGAGACAAGGTTTGAACAGGCTTACAAAAATTGAAAACTAAACTAAATAAAATTAAAGTACGTGATTTTATTTTTTTGAATTTTGCTTCATCTTAGTTTAATTTGAAAAGGACTATGGGGATTGATTTGGTTTTTTCCTATTTGAATAATCAAAAAATCTTGAAATATTGAACCGTATTGAATATAATATACTTTAAAATGGTGAATTTTTCCGTATTGTACAAATACTCCCTCATGTGTAAGTCTAAGGAACCTTTAATCTCCAAATAAGGCAATCTCCGCCCCCAACCCCGGCCCCACCCCACCCCCCCCCCCCCCCCCTCGGAAAAAAAAAAAAAAAAATCTACTCACTTCTTTAGATATGTGATTTGCTCAAATCTCGTTCTTTTGCAGGCCATTTTTGTGATATTTTAGTCTATTTCATTTTAGGTAAAACAGAGAACAATCAAATTAAACCAAATTATTTACAACCATTAATTGGAATGTATCTAATAAGATGGCTAATGAAAAAGAGAGAAAAGTCAATGTTAAAAGGGAAGGAAGATGAAGAAAAGGAAACGCTTTTCCCTTACACGCTCTACTGATTTGGACAAAAACTAACTTCTCCCATCAAAGCTAGGTTATATTTGGACATTTTATTAATTAAACTTTCTTCTTTAGTCCATCTCACGTTCATGCATATAATTTTATCTAATGAGAAGTATTTTGTTTTTCCCTTAATTTAATTTTCTCTTTGCCTATATTGGTTAGTCATTTTTGTCTTGCCATGTATAATTGTTTTTATCTTTTACATTATTATGATTACCTTTCCTTTACCAGCATTAATTCCGTAAGGGTCGGTTTGGTGTTGGGTTATTTTAAATCTTAATCTTTTAGAGTAATATAAAAAATTCATCTTTTTTAATATTTGGATCATTTAGAAAAATCGTATTTTTTTGGAAAAAAGTTATTCTTAAATCAAACTTATTCTTTGGTAGGTTTTAAATTTTTAACTCAATATAATTATATTTCTTTTATTAAACATATAACTAACAATCAAAAAATAGAAATAAACAACTTCTTTTTGCAAAGAAGGAAAGTCCTCGTCCTACACAAGAAAGAAAAGGAAAGAAGTACTGCCAAAAAAATGGCATTTAGTGACTCCATCATTAGTCACCAAATTCAAAGGGCAGCGGTCATTGAATGAATCAGTGACCGCATTTGTAACCGATTTGGCTGGTTAGAAAAAAGCCTCGTCACTAATCAGTTTTGTGATTAATACAGTCACTAATCAGTGACCGCTATAATCGATCACTAATTTGGTCAGTAATTCATTCTTTGGCTGCATAGTAATTAATGACTGCCAGCACGTCGGTCAGTAAATAGTCACCGCAATCTTCCGTTACTAATTAATGACCGAATATTTTCAGTCACTAAATAATCAGTGACCGAAACATGCGGTCACTAATTTGTGACCGCAATGTTTTGGTCACTGATTATTTAGTGACCCTTTTTATTAACAAATTTAGATGCATATTTAGTGACCACAATTTTTCTATCATTAGTCAGTCACTAATTAGTGATCCCATTAACCTTATTATCCTAACTATGTGTGGGGTACAATTGGGTTACTAATTTTGTAACCTTTTGTGACCTGTTTTAGGGTCACTAGTGCTATAATTGCTGTAATGCGTATATATCATTTCAATTACCATAATGCATTATAATTCCTGTAATGCATTTATATTATTTTAATTGTAATTCACCAGTAGCATACATAAAAAGTAATTAAATACCATAGTATAATTTGTTTGACATGTCAAAATCTTTAATAATACAATTTAATCACTATTTTTTAACATAAAAAATAAAATAAGAATGTAAAATATTAAAATATAACAATGTTAAACTATAATTTCACTATTTATTGCCTTCTCCAGTACTCTCATTTTGGGTTAATGATCCACCATACATTGTATTGAACTTTTCAATCATTGTATCCATTGCAGCCATCATAACCTCCTTTTGACCTTCATTACCTCCTCTCTGACCTTCAGTGTCTCTTCTGCTAATTTTTTAGCCTCCTCAAGTACTTGTGCCTCTCTTGATGTTGTTGCTTTTCTCTCCTTTACAAACACTTTAGCAATTGCCTCTTGTAATTGATCCAAACTGACATATCCAGGAGGAGGTGCTGTGAAGATGAAGTCAAATGAAGTGCTAACACAAGCAAGCTATTTGCAATTATAGGTGTTCCAAAAATCATAAATTCGATTCTTACAAGACTCACCATAGACTACAACCATTTCTGTGCATCATATAAGCTTTATGGAGTAGGATTGTTGCTATATTAATTGCAATATGATTGCTCATACTCCTCATAATAATAAATCAATGACAAGTGTAAAATTAATGTAAATTAACATGAATGACAAGTAATCACATTACCTTACATGATTATAAGACTAAAATAGAAGAAATAAAAAAAAATAGATTTTGGTAAGAAAGACAAACAGAACTGTGCTTGTAACTCAACTGAGATCTACTTGTAACCAATCGGAAGTATGCTTGTAACTAAACAAAACTATGCTTGTAATTGAACAGTTCTAAACCACAAGCATCCATTGGTTCAGTTACAAGTAGGGTTCTATTTACTTACAAGTATATCTCGTTTAATTACAAGCAGTATGTCCCTTTATTCAACCAAACTAGGATCAAATCTTAAAGCAATGACTTGTTTAGATATAAGCATAGCTTTGTATAGTTACAAGGAGAGGCCCGTATAGTTACAAGTACATCTAAGTTAAGTTACATGCATATATCTTTTATGATAAAATAAAGTGTAATCTCTGTAACACAAGCATTCATTGCATGACTGATATGTTACCATTCTATTATCTGGCATAATATGCATCACCGTTCTGTTTCCGGCAAACTATGTATCGTCGCCGTTCCATTATTCAGTACACTGTGAGTCGCCACTCTGATTTCTAATATATGTTCTGTTCTAGATTACAAGCTCATTAAAATTCTATTTTCTGATATATGAAAATGATTTGTTATACTGAAAATTTTTTAATATTTGTAAATGATTTTCCTAATATCTGTAAATGATTTGTTATATGAAAAAGATTCTGATATTTATAAATGATTTGTTATCTAAAAGGTTTCTAATATCTGTAAATAATTTATTACATAATAAAGTTTCTAGAAAATATAAAAGATTTGTTAAATGGTAAAATGTTTTGATGGTATATATTATACATGTCCTTTATTCTTGTAAATGCATGTTATTATTCACTGCGTCATAGTCTCATCCCCTATTTTTTTACAAATTTAGCATTTGATACTCGGTGGGATTTTGCTACTTAAAATGAGTCTTTTATTTCCGTTGTTTCTGTTATTAGTTGGAAAAGTTAGTTATTTCAATTTTATCAAATTTGTATTTCTAGATTGCATAGATAATCTTTTGACTATTGATATATTTCTTGTGGCTATATTGCCAGTTTGGTTGAGATTTTGGATACGATTTTATTTTCGATTATATATGAGATTTTGATTCAGTTATATATTGAGTTGTATGTTAAGCTTATGGGGTTAGAATTTATTCTGACCCTTGCGCTAATTATGAATTCACTTTTTCTAAGTCGTGACAGGGAGTGAGAGACTATAAACACACTAAGTAGATTGGGTTTAACCCAAACATAAAAAACCGGTAGATATACGAATCTGTTGGAAACATTGGTAAGGTTTAGGATTCAGGGTTGAGATAACGGTGGTGGGAGGAAGAAATAAACCTCTATGGTCTTCACTGTTCCTTTATGTTTTCTGCCTTCAGCACACCATTGCTTGGCAAATGGAAGATGACTACCAAAATAACCATGCACAGTGAAATCGAATACCCAGGTTCATTTATCCATCTATAAGAAAATGCTACTTGAAGTATATCTGTTTCTCCAAATTATGTTGTATGTAGACAAATTTATAGTTTCGCAATATTATACTCAACAAATTAGTGGGAAAAATTCACAAGGAAACTTGTTGCCCTTCTTTGACTGTAATTATTCTAAAGTAATTATGAATATTCCAATTGAATTTTTTAAAAAAAATAAGAGAAGCAAAAGGAAACTGACTATTCCCCTTTGAATTTCAAAAAGACGGTAATTTTGATTATTCCACTTGAATTAAAAATAAAAAAGAGTTACATTGACAATTTTTTTCTTTTTATTGGTCTTCTCTAACAGATAATTATCAACTCTCTCTGTCTCTCTCTCTCTCTCTGTGGCTTTCCTTTTATGATTCAAAGTTATACAGCTATCTTTTCATAAAATCATTTTAGGAAATATCACTTGTGACATTACCGTACAAATGTGATTAAAAAAAAATATATATATATATATATTGACTTTCCTTACACATCTCTCTCTCTCTCTCGCCCCCCCTTTCTATATATGTATATGTGTATATAGACTAGTAGATAGCTTCTATATAATATTACAA